AAAATTATTCAAATAAATTTTTTATAATAAATTACTAAAATTAATATTTACAAAAGCTCAGGAAACCAATTATTTTTTCTTCGTTGGTAGGGTAGCATATAGAGAAGTTCTATTTCTGATATAATCTATTAAAAAGTACAAGTATTATTACAATATTAAAATAAAAAATAATAAATTAACTTATATAAAATATTACTTTTGCTCTTTGAAATAAAAATAGTTCCTTTTTATTTGTATTACTAATAGAATCAGACAATAATCCAATAAACAAATTCATTAAATAGATAGTTGTAAAAAAAGAAAAGAGAATTAATAAAAATGTTAATGTCAAATTGTCAGTTAATGACCAATTTGACACAGATGATGTATCTCCTATATAGTAAAATAATTATATAATTTAGATATATACTTTTAAATAATTATAATAACAATTACTAAAAAATAATTAAAAATACCTGTTAACATCATATATACAGCTAAATATACTGTATCTAAATTTATAAACATGTTTGTATTTGATTCTTCAGAATTATTTAGGTTATCTGAAATATTTGGTCTTAATAAAATATGTAAAGAATGTGCAAAAGTGAACATAATAAGACCAATTATTACAAAAAATAATAGAGAACTTTTGATAACTCCAATAATCATTGCCCAATATGTACCACCAAATTCAATAGCACGAAAGAATGTTATAAATTTAAGTTCAAGCAATAATATAGAAATTGTAATAGCCCAGATTGGTGTAGTAGAGAATTGTAACAAATTAATAGAAGTTAACACAGGAAATAATATTGCTCCTATATCTTAAAAAATAATATTAATAGTTAGATACTATTATTTATAAATTTTATTAAATAAACAAAAATAAAATATAAATACCAAAATAATTCCAAATTTCAGTAACCCAATTTAGAGGAAACAAAATACATTGCCGAATTTCAAAAGTAAGATGTAAACCTCTGAAAATAATAGTTATAATTAATAATAAATTCTGAGTATTATTTGATAATTCTTCAATTGTAACAGCTATCAAAAAACTAAGCATAAAAATAAAATAAAAAACAAAAATAGCAAAGAAATAATATTTTCCATAAGTATTCCATTTAAAATTAAGAAGAGATTCGCCACACCAATATTTATAAAGGTCAGGAAATTGATGTTTAGAAAAAATACTATGTTTAGGAAAATTAATTCCTCCCAAAAATTATATGTAGCAGGATAAGAACTAAATTTTAGAAATGGAAAAATTATAATTACTGCTTAAAAATTTTTATAAAATATGTTCTATTTTTTCTGAAAAATTTTATTTTTGAGTCTAATAAAATAAAAGGGTGCTTAATTTTTTCTGCAATATTACTAGTAAAATAAGGTTGTAGATATTTTATATGGCTCTGAAGATGTGGTTCTGAGAAGAACTTGTTAAAGTTAATTTTTTCATAGTTACTAGCTAAATGATTAAATAAAGTATAAGATAAACATTTTTTTAATAATTGAGGATATTGGGTTAATTCTTCAAATGAAAAAGTCAAAATATCTAATAATTGAATCTTTTCTAAAAAATTATTCTTTTCTGTTTCTTCACATATTTTATTACATAATTTCTCTGCTAATGGATAGAATTGATATTTTAAAAACCCTTTTAAAAAATCTTTTCCACATAATTTCATCAGATTTGTTTCACTGTATATTTTGTTACATAATTTTTCTGCCGATAAGTAATGTTTAAACTTTAAGCAAAATTCTAATAGATTATATCAGAAATAGAACTTCTCTTTATGCTACCCTACCAACGAAGAAAAAATAATTGGTTTCCTGAGCTTTTGTAAATATTAATTTAGTAATTTATTATAAAAATTTATTTAAATAATTTG